TGAAACCGAAGGTATCAGACACCACGTCCCCCGAAGATGTGAGAACCATATGGAAAACTTTGGTTTGGATTAGGTTTGGTGTCGTTAATTCTTTAAGGAGGCCATGTTTGTGCCGCAGCCTCGAGCAAAGTGGTTTGACTCTTTGAAATAACACTCACTTGAGGCGATGTTGGGAAAGAAGGCAAATAGCACTATTTCTTTTCCCCCTAAATTTTCTCATTTTAATATTTTCCAGTGGAGAAATGTTGCACTTCACATAATAGAAAGCTCACAGCAGCATTTAGATTTAAATCGGGTTTTTCTTCCAGCTGGAATTTAGGCGAGGAAGTTTTTCTTAATTCAGTGCAACCACATGCAACTTAAAGTCGAAGTGGCACATGTCTTAAAGCTGAACAGCTAAGACGACTTGTAGGGGGAAGTGTTCAGGTCAGAGGATGTGGGGCCTCCTGGAGGAAATACCCCAGCCTGCTTCAAATGTTCTCAAAAAGAAACATCATCTTCCCCTTTCCCTCCACCGCTGACGGAGGCTCCATCAGTCGAACTGCATTCTGAGTCTGCGGTTTTTAATAAGTCTTCACGCCCGCTGAAGTTTGAAGCAGGGGGTTCAAATTCAAGCGACAGAGTGACGAGGAGAAGAAAAGACTTCAGTGAGAGAGTGGTTTGTTATCACAGATGACATCATGCTTCAGAGGAAGAACATCTGTGCCTTTTGCTGAGCAGAAACTATTAATGCATCCTCTCTCTTTGCAGCATGTTACTTAATCCTCTAATCCGTCCTCACTGAAAGACTTCTCTACCACTTCTGAAGTGTCTTATTTTATTTTTTTTTATTCTTGCCTATATCACAAGGCATGCAGAGTATCTGTTTCTCAAAGGCCGCTGAGATCCTCTTTCAAGCCTCTTCCACAAGCTGTCATGTGGGCTGTGACTGTCCTTGTTAATCAGGCTTTGGAGTGATGTCAGGGTCCCTAGTGCTGGACGCAGAGCTGAGGAACATTCTCCCATAATTACAGCCCTCACTCAGTCACAGGCTTTAATGTCAGCAACCCCCCCACCTCTCCTCTTGGTCTGTTGGATGTGGGGTTTTCCGTCCAACTGTCACTGACAACTGACCGTGTCCTCACGCAGCGGCCAAGAAACAGATGAGCAGGAACAATAACGATGAGATGTGACTAATGGGTGCTGAGCACCAGAGTCGGACATGCCCCTCAGCTGTGCTTTAGAACCCTGAATGATTTCAGTTACACGTCCGTGCATGAGAACGCGGCTGTGCTGCATTATCAGGCTGCAGCTTAGATGTGGATTTAATCATCTTTTGATTTTCACGGTCGTCTGTCACATCGAGTCGAGCATGTGGAGGAAATTTATCAGGCCCAGTGTTTCCCACCGAAGTCAGATTCAATCGGTGGGGTAAGCTGCTGTTGGGGGGGGGGGGTTAATGGTTAATGAATTCAGATATTTTAAAAAGTGGAACCACATCCAGAACAGACCTGCTATTGTTATTGGATCCACTTACTTTCTTGGGGAAGTGATCTCATCGATCAAAAGGATAAAATCCCCTGTTTGTTTTTCGTAGACAGTTTTTTTTAGTTGTCGATGTTGCTCCTTGTTTTTTCTGTTACACCGTCATCATCAGTCTGTGGTTACTCGTCTGTCTGCCGGTCCACCTTGTTGTTTTGTAGCATGTTAATGTTTGCATCAGTGAAGCCAGTGTCAGTTGCAGACAGCCTTGTTATTGTCCCTGGTTGAAGCCAGTCTCCTGTACAGTGAGGGACGTTGTGTGTTGTGTTGGTTTCTCATTTGTCCAGGAAGTTGGTATGCTGCGCACAAAGCCCCTCTGAAACAAATCATCCCATCCAGAGCCACTCAGGAGAATAATACAATCAATAGTGTACCACTTCCATGGCTGGCATAGTCGTCCGGGGCAACAAAAGGCTCAGGGTGGAGGTTTAGTGGGAACCAAATCCTGGAGCACACAGCCCCCGTCAGTCCCGCAGAAGGCAGACATGAAGCGTTTGTCCCGATGTCCTGGATTCAGGCCTCTTGTCTCCTCCTAACTTTCCAAATGCCACCTCCCCTCTGGAGGGACAACAATGGCTGCCAGGATCGGCTTGTTATGACAGACTGGTAACAGCTAGCGGCAGAGAATCTCATAAAGGATGGTCAAAAATTCACTTTGAGGATTTTCCTATATTCCAAAAAATTCTCTTGCTTATTATGATTCATTCCACTGTTTTCCATTATAGACAAACACGAGCTAGTGTGTCTCATAAACCTCCCAGAGACCATTGAGCTCTCAAAACAGTTTGACATGAACAGTTGCTATCACGTCATCAGACACCCTCAGCTTTGGTGTAAGGTGTTCGCCTAGTTCTAATGTAAGTGGAAAGTGTTACACCATCGGCGGTCCGACAGCAGAGACACCTGACGGGATTTCATAACAGAGCTTTAACCAAGACACCAGCTTCATGTCTGTATGCCCGTACATGGTCCAACCATGAACTAGCTTGTTTACTCAGTTTTCTCACCTTGAAACTCCCGGAGCTGGCGCAGAATCTGTGCCTGTGCTTGTCATCATAGATCATCTGTAGTTCCAAAACACACTGACCTTGTGAGCTGTCCTCGGCAGATGATGAGTTTCGTGGTGAATTATAGACGACAAAAAAAAAAAAAAAAATCTAGACCACTTGTCATTTGGCCACTTCCGAGTGAACGGTCTGACACGAAGAATGTTTTGCAGTCTGCGTTATGTTTGAGGCAACACAGCTAAAGTGGATTTGGTTGTTAGGGTGGTTAGTGCAGCTCTGTTCGGTTTTGAGTTTTTCAGTGAAGGTTAGCTGCTCCTTTGTCTCTTGCCCATGCTGAAACAGCCGGCTCTTTTCAGCTTCCTGGCCCTTCGCCCGAGCACATGGATTTTGCCTTGTGAAATCTGCCGTCCCATCTAATCATCCCCCCACACGTTCTTGCCTGCATTATTTGATGTCAGCTAATGTCTTCATCCTACATCTGTGTGCACATAAAGCTTGGGAATCAAACAGGATGAATCACAGGTCGTTTTTGTCCATATACACCCGGGTCATAAAGCAGAATCTGCATCACGGTTGGTTAGAGCCAGCTGAATGTCCTCATCCTGTTATTTTTAAAAGCAGTTCTCTCACACGACTGTGTCCTATGACATAAGTCTCTGGGTGGCTCCGCACTTAAGTGCCTTGTTAGTATAAATCAATTAAAACCCGGCACTACGGTTTGGAGTGACCATCAGTGTGACCTTAGCACACAGCGCCGACCAAGGCAAATCAATGAGCGGCGTCCAGCAGGTGTAAACGGCGTTGGCTCTGGTTGTTTGTCTTGGCAGAGTTTCTGTCTGAGTTTCATTCTTTTTGAAAAGGTCTTGAGATAAATCTGCTCCATTCATACAAACTTACATTATTCAGAATTATTCTCATTCATTTATTTCTCCACCTGAAGGAGAAATATTTCAAGTTATTTAAAGTCAATTCCCTGAAACTTTTCTGCTCCCGTGTTCTTGTTTCCTTTGTAATGAGTTTTTTAAATCGGTGTGTGTGTGTGTGTGTGTTTGTGTGTGTTACCCATATCAGCACCATCAGCATTATATTTTATAAGCTGCTCTTTTTAATCCCATCAGCAGCATTTTTATTGACCTCCTTCTAAAGCCAGTTGAATGTGTATGGATGGGCAGGGATGTGGACTGTCACGAGAACCGACACTTCCTTTTTCACAGTACCACAGGTACCGAACAACGCTGACCTGCTGCTGCAGGATGGTTGCCGCTGCTTTCTTCCTCTTTCTTTTTTTACCATTGGATTTTATCTAAGAAACCGACTGCCCAGTAGACAACTTGACGATCTGCTGCTCGTTTGCGTCGGCGTGCGCGTGAACGGGGATAATTATTGACACAGAACTGAAAAGCGTGTGTGTACGGAGATCGTTTCAGCTTAATCATGCCATTTCAAAAGAAAACATATTGCATAAGATCCCAGGAGTCAAATCGTTGAGAAAAAAAATGGAAAACACTAGTTAAAATGTGGTTTCTCCTGTTACACAATCTGCGGCCCTCCCTCACTATGTTCAGTTGCAGTTCTACCGTAGCTGCTGGTCTCTTGTCTCATTGGCTGCCTGTTCCCTCCCCTGTGCTGCACGATGACACCAGTCACCCCCTCTAATCTGATAATGTGTGCTACAGTAACTCTCACTGTTGTGACAACATACAAGCAAACACTGTGCTCCAGTGTGTTTATGTTTGCTGTGAGTTTCAGGTCCTCTAACTTCTGTTTACCGTCCTCTGGGAACACGCAGGTTCAACCTGCAGGTTCCATTTGTACCTGGGAGTTTTTAACGTTGCACCGTCCTCACAACGCAACTCCTGAGATTTGTTTTAAACACAACGCTGACGGACTTTTCAATGACGGTCTTTGTGCTCACTGGTCACTTTAACCACCCTCCCCTTTCTGCTCATTCCCAATCCAAATCCATGCTGGTTTTCAGATGACCTAAGGTAACTCGCCATTGTAGATCTTTTCTTTGTCCTCGCTGCTCGATGGACTTTGATGCCTGCCACTCAATGACTCCGTGAACCTCTTCGAATGAGAAGCAGAGCAGTTGTGTCGCCGTGTGTGTCCTTTCACTCAGGGACAGATACAGGACGGTGACAACAGCTTGTGGCACCTGGCTAAACACCTTTGTCTAAAAATCCTATGTAACAGCAAAGTCCACTCACGCAGGGTCATTTCAGCTCCATATCTGATTGTGGGAAATCCTTTGTGTGTTTTATAAATCAAACGACTTCATTTACTCCAGGATTAGACCCAGCTGGAGTTTGGCCAGTGCTAAATGAGCTTATGCTGCTACATGAAATGAGACGGTACTTAGCTGCTGCTCAATAACAGCTTTTGGAAGCCTTTTGTAAATCTCTATGTATGAAAAGACCAAAATCTGCTGATGTAATGTCAACTTGTCATCTTGTGGTATTTTTTTTCCAGGAGGCTTCTCCGTTGTGTTTCTGGCTCGTACGCACAGCGGCGTCCGCTGCGCTCTGAAACGGATGTACGTCAACAACGTCCCGGATCTGAATGTCTACAAGAGAGAGATCACTATCATGGTAAGAGCAGCTTCACCGTTTATCTCTCCGACTCTCGGCCGTCCAGTCTTTCACGGAGCAGAAACGTTCACAACAACAGAAAAGCATCCAAACACATTCAGGGAAGGGTTAATGTCATGACGTATAAATTCTCTGTGGAAAGCTTAGTGTTTTTGTTCTTCAGCACATCAACATCATCCTTTATCTCATTGTCTTTCTGAGTTGACGTCTTTGACAGCGTCTTCTATGTGACTGGCTTCTCTTATTCATCCCACGATATTTGTATTCTCCCAGTTTCGCGTCTGCCACGTGTTAGAAACGTCATGAACGCGACCGCCCGCAATTAATTATTCTGCTTTAATTCTCACTTGGGCTCTTTCAGATAATGTCCGGAGTAACGGACTCAAAACAATTTTTATTCTTTCCCTCCGGGAAATTTCAGGAAAATGCTCAGACTTCAGTTCATGTCTGAAAGCAGCACCATTCTTAGTTTTGGCTGCATCTAATGGAAACCGGGCTCCTCTCACTTTCTGTGCTCGGAGGGTTTAATGTGAACTCGAAGAAGCTGTTTCCTCATCATCACAAATTTCACAAGGGTTTTCTCAGTTTTCAGGTATTTCATTTAAGCACATAATTACTTTTTCAAATGGAACACGAGCCCTCGTGAAGGAACGTGCACATGAACGTCCTCGTTCCATCTTTCTAACCTAACTGGTTTTCCAGGATTCCTAATCTGGCAGGGGCTGTAAATGAATCGCGCAGAGGTGTCACTCCTGTGATCACAGCAAAGCCATTCAAGGGGTTTCATGTCACTCGCAGTGAAATAGGTTAATTCTGTAAACCAGCAGACGATGTAGGACTTGGACATGAGCAGATGTCTCGTCTTGAACGATTGACCCCAGTGTGTCAGTGGAACAGCTCACTCTGAGCTGTATGGCCAACTTTGTGTGTCTGTTGACTGCCTCATCAGCTGGAACAATGTGTAATACACACACACACACACACACACACACACAGAGCTGACCTTAAACACTGACACAGTTCTGGCCTTTTGGGACGTTGCCTTCAGTGTGTCGGTTTCCACAACACACAGCGGTCTCTCTCCTCGTGCTGCGATTCAGCAAACAAACCAGAGACTCTGATGCTTTAATCCAGCGAATTAATCAAGTTAAGAAAGATTAGCGGAGTTAAGAGATCAGCGCGTTGTGAGATCGTGAAAGAACACGGAAAGCATTCTTACCTCATGGTAGCTTGAGGACGAGACTGGACTGGATTCAGCTGGATGATGAACTTTTTGGAATGCGTTCAGTAGAGATGCAGTCACCGGCCGTATTTCTTCTTCTTTGGTCTTACTTGGATGTGGTTCCCAGAGATTTACACAGAGTCAGACCAGGGTGAGGTGTGAACAAAGGTCACAGAGACTCACAGGGAAGAATTTAATGGCGGACAGCAGCTCCTTTGACTTAGAAGATGAACATTATTCAACATTTCAGTTTTAATCCTTCATTTTCAATAAAGAAGCAACTTCTTAGTTCTGAGCAAATATAGAAAGAAACAAGTCTCAACATGAATACTCATCTCTCACATTATATATTTCTTTACACTGTATATATATAAGTTAATTAGATTCATATTTTTCTTTTATATTTCTACTGCTGATGTCTTTTCGCTGCTGTAAATTGACAAATTTCCTAATAAAGGATTTATTATTCTTATGTACTTTATAGTTTAATTGTTGATTACATGGAAACTAATACAAGAACCCAAAAAAGCAAAAGACTACTAATTTAAGTCCTACCAATTTCTTTTAGTATTATTTTTTTATTCCAATAAATCTCTCATCTTTGTTCCCGTGTGCAGAAGGAGCTCTCAGGCCACAAGAACATCGTCGGCTACCTGGACTCTACAATCAGTGCCGTGTCCGACAGCGTCTGGGAGGTCCTGATCCTCATGGAGTACTGCAAAGGTACATGTTCTGAAACCACCATAAACATTCAGCTTCAGTGACGCTGTGGTTTCTCTTAGTTACGTCTATGACCTCTGGTTTTTTATTTGGGTCAGGCTCCATTTGTTTTTTTTAGGACAAATAAACTAAACTAAATAAACTACTTCTTTCAAATGTGTTTTTTTTTTATGGTGGCTGATTTGAAAACCTTTATTTATGCATATTTTTTAATCAATCTTATTTCGCTGTAAAATATCAAACATCACTCGACTCTTTGTCACGAGGGTTTGATAACATTATCTTAGGAATCATTGTTTGTTTTGTCTTTCAAATATTTATATTGGCCGATATATCTGGATCAGAAATGTCTTACTCCTGAAGATCGTTACCAACGTAGACGTCCAAACATCCCTATCACTCAGGCTCTGGTATAAATATTTAATCCAAATCAGGTCAAGTGTGAACGTAAACATTCTCAAACAGGAAAACTGAAACCTAGTTGGAAAATAGTGTGCGAGGGTGAAAGCACTGAAGATGCAGTGATGAGTCCTAACAGCCTCTGTGTTCTCCTGCAGCGGGTCAGGTGGTGAAGCAGATGAACCAGCGGTTGAATGTGGGCTTCAGTGAGGCCGAGGTCCTTCACATCTTCTGTGACACCTGTGAGGCCGTGGCCCGGCTGCACCAATGCAAGACGCCCGTCATCCACAGAGACCTGAAGGTGATGGGAAGCTTCCTCTCTTTCTTTCCTCCCTCCCTCCATATTTTCCTTCTGTCTTAGTCCTCAAGAAGTCATTGTTAACTGTCCGCAACAACTAGTGGGTGTGGAAAGTTGAAATTGAAATAAATTAGAAATCAATAAACATATTGTGGAGGCAGGAGCAGAACTTCTAAAGGATTTCCAAAGATGTCAACAGAATCAGAAAGAAGAACTAGATTTTCTGTTTTGTTTCAGTTGTTTTTGAAGTTGATTTAAATCTGCTCTGTCAGCAGAAGACAGAACGCTTCAGTTTCACTTCTTGTTTAACTCCTGTGCCTCCTCACGTACTTAACTGCTTCCCATTACCAGCTCCTCTTATTTCCTCTCCTTCCTCTCATTTGATATTCCCCTGATCTTTGCTTTTCCTCTTTCTCCAGAACCTTATCCTTCCAGAGAATCAAACCTGTTCTTTTTGGTCCACATCCTGTAATTCCTCACTAACTTGATTTTCTGAGCGTATTTTTAAACCGAGCGTGGCGAGCACCAGCTTCATCCTGGCTTTGATGAAGCTTGGAGGCCGGTGGTAATTTCCCACCCTGGTTGAATTCTCCTCAGTGCCCTCATCTGTGGGCCGCTGTACTCTGTCCAGTTGGACAAGCCTCTGAACAGAGCGGTTCCTTCAGCTCCACAGGCCTGTCCTCTGTTCGCTGTCTATCTGTTCAGCCCACATGGCTTACATAACATCGCAGGGACACAAAAGACCGCGGAGGCCCAGTCACACATCGCCAGGGAAAGTGAGAGTGCAGAAAAAAGCCCTTTAACCCTGAGCTGTCAGCAGCAGACACTCAGCGTTTCTCTCAGTAGCTCCGTTTTCTCATGAATCTTTCTCCCTTAATCTCCTTTTCTCTTATAAAATACCTGAACTGAGGTTTTACAGCACCAAAGAGAATAGTGAAAGTAAAGTAGTAAATCACGTGTGTGTGTGATTTGTGTGTTTTAACAAACAACTTTATCCACTAATTGCCGTCCATGCCCACAGTGATGTAATTGTGGATGAGCCTCGGCTGAACTCAACCCCCAACATTGTTTTCTTAAGACAAAATAAAAGCAGGTTGTGTCTGTAGGATCAATCGAGAGGACACGGGACGAAAAACAACAAATGCTCTTTTAACAATGTCAAAATGGCTGATTGTCTTTCCTGGCACATCTGCAGCTCCGTCGCTCAGCATCTGCTGCTCTTACTTTCCTTCCCTGAGGGTGATGGAGGTCGGATTGTGAACGCAGGTCCAACGGTTCTGTGGCTGCATCTCTGTTATTTCATAATTGCTGACGCTGGTTTTAGGTTGAGACAAAGTTCCAGCATCTATCACCGTGTATGTGCTCTCCTTGTTCATGTTTCCCTTGAATGTTGATTTAAAAATGTGAAACCTCTGTCTTTCACCAGGTTGAAAACATCCTGCTGAACGACCAGGGGAACTACGTGCTGTGTGACTTTGGAAGCGCGACTCACAAGATTTTGCTGCCACATAAAGATGGAGTCACTGCTGTGGAGGACGAGATTAAAAAGTACGTTTCCGTTACACATGCGATTCAGTACGTGCATCTTTGTTCTGATTGAAACTTTAATAACTTACTTATCAAAGTGACTGACGCACCCTCCTGCCCCCAACGAACCTTCACCTGCATCTCAGTTTATCTCCTTATCTCGAGAGTCCCCACGAGAGCTGACGTTCAGATTACTAATACAGGAATACTGTGGCACCGTCTCGCCAGATTAGCTCGTTCCCCCGGGTGTTACATTTCCATCGCTGCCGATCAGAGCCAATAAAAACCAGCTTCATTTGAATCCATTCCCGTTGCAGACAAAAGCCAGATGTTAGCAGGTGTTGGTGGTTTTTTTTGTTGTACCAGTGGAAAATGGGCTTTAAGTGAAGCAACAGCCGAAACTGCTCTAAATAGGAATTACATACAAACCTATTTTGTGACTGTTCAGATGCAGTCACGGTGAAGAACGAGACAAATGTGTTACCTTCATTTTAACAGGTCTCATAACGTCGGCCTGACATATTCACTCTCACTCATAACACCGGCAGACAAATTCGTTACTGAACTAAATTTGGCTCGATGCCGGACCGCTGTCATAAACAGTGTTTGCACACAACCGGCTGTAATTTTTTAAATCTTTTTATATGCGTCCACAAAGCAGAAGAGAAAGCTTGTAAATCCCTCAGAGCTGCAATCCTCGGTCATAACTGCAAATGAACCACAACCACACATGCTGCTGCAATCATGGTGTCATTGACCCGACGCAGGTGATGGCGGTAAACATGACGCACCTTTGTTGTCACCGCTCCTGCACGTTGTCACCGTGTGTGTGTGTGTGTGTGTGCGCAGTTATTCTATTTGTGTGATGTCAAATCGCAGCATGTCAGATCACCTTTCCCACATTTACAGCTGCAATAAATTGAACTGCGCTTATCTCCAGTATATGACCGTGTGTAAACTCATCTTCGTGACAGCGGTCATTTAGAAGCCATCGAGCCTCTGAACCCGCGGCGACTCACACTGGGTGGGAATGTTTTTGGTCATTTTCTTTTCCCTCCGTGCCGCAGTGAACAGAGGCACAACATGGGGTCATCAAAGAGACGTGTTCTCAGCAGTAATGAACTTAATCACCAAAAAAAAAAAAAAGCAGCAAAACGTAAAAATATCTCATTTCGCATAAAAGATTCTACTGCCGCCAACGTGCAGAGGTGCTGACATAGTTAAATAAGTACTTAATGCTGCTCATTGTTCGATAGATGGAGTACTTCATTCATCTCAAAGGGACATTTAACTATGTGGTGTTTTTACATTTATACTTAGAAAGTTTTCAGCTCATTATTAAACTTCCGGGCCGAATGTTTTAGTGTTTCTTCTCTCAGCCACAGCAGACAAATGTTTTCAGAAAACCTGCTACACACGACCTGCTCAGCACCAAAGATGTGGTGGAGTGTGCAGCAGCAGAGATTTCACTCCTACTTTGTTTGGTCTGGACCTTCGGACGTGTTATTTTAGTCCTACGAGGTGTGAAAGGTGCCTCAAACAGGGTCTGGGCCATCGGCTCTGATCTTGAGAACACGTCTTCGGATGGTTTGGACTTCGCAGGAAGTCGAGACGGCATCAAACAATAGAAGAAAAGAACGAAGAGGAATAAGAACTTAAACAATGGGGGGGGGGGAAATCCAGAACCTGAGTAAATAAACTCGTTGACTTTGCTTTCACTGGAGCTTTGATCGTGTCATCGAGTGATTCTTGTTTCTGTCTCTCAGGTACACGACCCTGTCATATCGGGCGCCGGAGATGATTAACTTGTATGCAGGGATAGCCATCACCACTAAAGCTGATATATGGGTAAGGTGCTACTTCGTGTGTGTGTGTGTGTGTGTGTGTTCTGCACCCTGCAGGGCTAGTTTGTCCTGGCCGTCATTCTGCCCTGACTGGTTCCTCCTCTCTCTCTCTTGCGCTCTGTGTCTCTGTTCCTCGCTCGCCCCGGGCTGTTTGCTTCCACCAGCTCTCCAACAGTTTTTTTTTTTTTTTTCCCCTCATGAAACATTGAGCAACATCATTCACAAACAAAGCCAGGACTCCGTCTGATCCTACTCCTCCCTCACCGGTGCCCGTCCTCTTCTATTCTCTCTCCATTTGAGAGAATTAGCCTCACCTCAGGACCTCGGTTGTTCTGAAGGTGAGAGAGGCAGGAAGAAGGACTTGGACAGCAGCCATTTTGAGGAGCGGTGTAGATTGCAGAAGCCGAGGGAGTCCGTGTAGAAGATGTAGCCGCTGATGGCACACCTAGAATTAAATGACTAGTTTTTACAAACCTTACTGAAGGAAGGGTCTGGAGTTTTCTCACACATCCACGCAGCTCTGCGTTATTTCCATTCACGCATTTTGAAAAATGAACAGAAAGAAACTCTAAATGCCGAAACACATGCTTCATAAAACACTGGACAAACTACAGAACACCTTCAGACGCACACTCCCTCGACCTCGCCGCCGCCGACCGCCATCACACTTTACAACTCATCTGCCTCCGCCAGGCCTGTGAGCAATGCACTAAATGAACCGTCCCTCAGTACCTGTTCATAAGACTGTCACACTACCTGTCATGTGTATTTATTTAAATATTTTTTTATTGTTTATACTGCGCCTCATTTGAATGTCTCAGGGCTGCTAAGTGTCCTGTTTTGAACCACGTGTGTGTTTTTTCTATTTAAGTACTTTCTTTGCTGGCAGCTGCTAAGACAAATTAATTTCCTCTGGGATTGATAAAGACGTCAATTTCTCTATTTAATATTAAATAGGCCTCTGGTTAGAGCATGACCGCAACTGTGGGACAAAAGAACACACCAGCTTCCTGTCAACTATCGTCCTGTGGTCTCACGTCCTGTTCCGCTTTTGGACACGTCTTGAAACTGTTCTTATTATTCAGTGGATCGGTGTTGAGAGATGAACTGTGTAGAATATCTGTTTTCAGATGAGACCCTAAAAGAAAAACATTTCCTTTGACGCTGGGGCTGATTCCAAAGTCTCTTTTATCTCCGACTGCATCATCAGCGAAAAAGATGCTGGAGCCAAATTTAGCAACAGCTGATTCTGTGATGTGGGAGCGGAGCGCTTTTCCATGTAGTTTTGTTTTGAGTGGACGTACTGCCAGGAGAGGAGACGCTTTTAAAAGCAGCTTTTTTTTTAATCCCGCGACATAAGAGACGTTTATTCTTTGTCGAACGCTTCAGTGGAGCTCAGTGTGTCGACAACGTTAACATCACAGTGGCTGAAAAAGTCCTTTTCCTGTTCATGTGATTAGAATTCCACAAAGTTTCCTTCGGGCCTTGAACAATTATCATAGATTGTTTATTGTCAGGGAAGACAAACTGTGGTGTGGATTTTTTTCCCCCCACTCTCTTTCACATTATAGATCGACGGAGCGTTTCTCAGAGAGTAATTCGTGGATCTTGATGAATAAAATCAGGCATTTTCAGGGAACTAAAAATCCGGATCTAGTGAATTCAATGTGATTTCCTAAGGAAATGCTATTGTACTTATCTTTTTCTGCCCTCACAAACAAAGTTCAGTTTGTGAGGTGGTGAGGAAAGTACCTTCGATTCTAACTTGTGTGCAGGTTGACTGAGCTAAAGCTTTGTCACGGTTTATTTTTAACTATTAGGTATTTACCAGGGTTTAATAGTGAAACTTATTCAGCTCAAATATAATGAATGTGTCTGCAACAACTGTCAAACTATCAAGACCCTTAATCTTTGGTCAGATGTTTTACTTTATTTATTCATTTCTGGTTTGAAGCTGAATCATTTTAGGACAAAGTCATGTGAAGTTAAATTCCTTGGTGTCTCCTCATCTCTTACAAAACACCATGTTGCACTTTCAGTCTCGTCTCTAAAAACTTTGTTATCGTGCTGACGTGGACATTTGAAATGACTTTCGACACTCGCCACTAAAATCCACCCGTTTCTCTTTTCTCTCCTCAGGCACTCGGATGCTTGTTGTACAAGCTGTGTTTCTTCGCTCTTCCATTTGGGGAGAGTCAAGTTGCCATATGTGACGGAACCTTTATCGTTCCAGATAACTCCAAATTCTCCTTCAAGTTGCACTGCTTAATCAGTAAGTCCATAAATCATTAACGTCCATGATGTCAGGATGTATATTCTTATCTTATCGATTGATTACACCTCAGAATTACTTTCAGTATCTGTTTTTACTGATTTAAAATCCCTTCACGTGATTCAGTTAAGAGAAGCGTTGCCAAATGTGTGATCATCATAATATTTCTTCGATCACGTGTTAGGAGTTATAATAATCAGTATAGATAAATAAGCTATTTATCCTACGTCTGTGTTTGGTCTTATGACGTCTGAGAAAAATGATCATGAGTCAGTTTTTCCCATATTCGTTCCTCCTAAATATTTGCTGTATCTTTTGTGTGAGCATTATTTATCATTCATATATTTATTTGTTTTGATGTTTCACAGTGTTCATTGTTACTGCAGTACTCACGGATCTGTAACTGACTGTGGCTGTTGTATGTTGAAACCTCTCAGCCTGTTTGAACCAGTCTATCTATCTTCTGTCTTGTTATTTCACTTCCCTAAAAGTTTGCTGTGGTGGAGCCTCTTTTTTTTATTTTTAGACCAACAGCTCCACCGTGTGACAAAAGAGGGAAGATGCACATTAACTATAACACCACCCATAGCTGCTCTGCAAGGCTTGAAGTTTTTAAATCTCTCTTTCTGTCGTTTCCAGGATATATGCTCGAACCAGATCAGGAGAAGAGACCAGACATTTACCAAGTGTCCTACTTTGCCTTCAAGTTAGCTGGAAAAGACTGTCCGGTGCCAAATCTCTTTGTGAGTCAGAGGAATTAACTGGTCGTCACGGTCGTCATGGTTTCAGCCTTCAGTCTTTTTCTTGTAAACACAATTCTCCTTTTTCTTCTTTCTGCAGAACTCTCCGATCCCCACGTCGCTCCCAGAGCCTCTAACGGCCAGCGAGGTCGCTGCTAAGAAAAGCCAGACAAAAGCCAGGTAACTACAAATCACTTAATCTGACATCCACCTGCTGGACGTGCACCAGAGACTGAGGGACATCAGACGTCAACTGTTTGATTCCCTCTGTTCAGGATAACGGAATCTGTCGGCCCAACGGAAACATCAATAGCTCCCAGGCAGAGGCCGAAGGCGGTGAACAGTAACGTTCTGCCCCTCGCCAGCACCGTCACCCCCGTGAAGATGACCATGCCTTCAGCCCCCGTCAGCAATGGACAGAAAGGTTCGTTTAACAGGAGCTGATAATTAATACGTTTATAAGTTTCACTCCTATCTCAACTCTCATACAGGAGGTTAGTGTGTCAGTATGTTGTAGAGAAAACCGCTTATTTTTGGAGAAATGTAAATTCTGGATACTCAACAAGAAGATGTATTACTATATTATATATTATTATAAACACTACCATACTCAAAAAAAACTATTAATGCAAAGTAGAGTTAAGAATCTAAAGCTTTGTTCAAGCTATGATTTTTAGCTTCCAGTCGCAGATGAGTTTTGGAAGTAGCCAACAACAGCCAGAGATCGGAGCCAAACGCAACATGTGAACTCTCCAAAGACGTAATTTGAGGGTTTCAGTGACACTTCACAGGCTCCGACGAGAGGCTACATATTTACACCAATTGGAGACAACTACAGCCAATTAGAGAGCAGCAAGGGGTGAAGGTAGTGAGGGAGAAATGTAAATTATGGAGTTATATATCCTGAGTTATGACAATAAGAAGTTACTACATTGTTCACAAATCATAGTAATTATTCTCAACTTTGCCATATTTCTATAAAACCTCCTCAATGTGTAACCTCTGGTGGTTCCTGCTCGATGTCGATCCATCTCGTCCTCTCAGCTCCCACCCCTGTCTCCGGGCAGCTGTCCATGCAGCCCCAGCCCAGCAGTCAGCAGCACCGAGTCCTGCAGCAGCTGCAGCCCGGTGACCTGCGTCTGCAGCAACTTCAGCAGCATCAACAACAACAACAACAACAAGCCGTGCAACAGCAACATGTTAATGCACAGCAACTCCAATACCTCCAGGTACAAAATAAATGTGTATATCCTCAGGAAAGACAAAGTAATGGCTCGACTGCTCTTCTGGGACCGTCACTAAAGTTTTTATTGTCTTTACAACCCTCTTCAGTACCAACAGGCTGTGCAGCAGTCCCTCCAGCTCCAGCAGCAGCAGGCTCTGCTCCAGCAGCAGCAGCAGCAGCAGCAGATGATGATGCAGCCGATGTACCAGCAGCAGGTCACTCAGGCCCAGGCTCAGTATGCAGCCATGGTGAGTTCTGTCAGAGGTCTGAATCCTCAGCCAAAGCAAAAAAGCTCGAGTTTAATTCTCTGTTTGTGCTCGTAAATAAACGGACGTCCATCAGAGTGAATTTGCTTCTGTTGGCGTTCGAGCCCGTTCAAGCATCTGAGGCTGCTTCTCACTCAGAGTCCTGACGGGATTTCAGAGCAGAGGACTCGATCCAAAACTGCAATAAATAGATTGAGCAAATGACAGTGAAACACATGGAGACGCAGCGTGAAATAACACGGAGCTGAATATTTCCTTTAATGTCAGAATGGCCTAAAATTGCTCTCTCTGTTCCAAACGCTGGCAGCCAGTCCTCTTCCGTTGAGTGGCTTCATGTCTGTGCCAAGCAGCATTGGAAGCAGACGCTCAAACTTCCTACTGACTCCGTCCAAATATTCAGTAAACTCGTATTTACACAGCGACTGAATCAAACACACAAACACAGGTCCTCTAAATGTGCACTGTGATGGCGGTGCAATTTTTAGTCTGTTTCCCACCGAACGCGCACCATCTGTTTTATTTCAGAGGCAATCTGGTCCGAGCGGAGCCACGACGGGATCGAACAGAGGGTGAAATCGAGCAGTTTCCTCCACGTCGCGTTCTGACATATGAAGCAGTTCACAGACAGGGGAAGAGAGCACCTCTGAAAATTACTTCTTATTCCCAGCAGACCTGCTAAACGTTTAAAAAGCAGCATTTCCTCCGTGAACTTAGAACCTGCAGATTCGTGATACGATTTAAAAATATCGGAGCAGTTTTCTATAAACAGACCGGGATGGGTTTTCCTTTTCATGATAACAAAAACACGACAGCGTTAGGGACCACTTCAACAAAATGTTCAGAAAAGAATTAACATCTAAAGGGCAGAAAACTTGGCAGCTCTGAACTTCTCTGCCTCCATGTGGACAAACACGCAGCTTTAAATTTCTCAGCCAGAGTTTGATCTGATCCTTGTTTGCAGTTTGAATCTTGAGTTTGATCTCGGACGCGTTGTTTGACTTTCACTTCCTCACCCCACCCCCCCTCCACCGTGTCCCCAGCTTTCCAAATCCAGAACTGGTTTCTAACAACATTTCATCATCTCGTTGCCGTCATTGTGCGCCATTAAAAAAAAAAAAAAAAAAAATCAAAGGTCCGTCCTTCATTCCCTTCCCCCTCTTCTCCCTCTCTTCCTTCCCTATCAGTTGCACCAGTACCAACAGGCTTTTGTGCAGCAGCAGCAGCAGCATCACCACCAACAACAACATCATCATCTACAGCAGCAGCAGCAGCTTCATCCCGCCCAGCAGCCTCTCCCCTACATGTCCTCCCCTCTTGAGTTCCAGATCCCCCTCGGCTCCTATAACACTACCACCCCCTCTGCTGGACCTGCAGCAGGAAGTGGACAGTTGGGGGGAATATCACCTGTGGATCCCTTGTACACGAACTCCAGGTAAAGTCCCCGAACGTGTGTTATTGAATTAAAGGTGAATTAAAAATGAAACTAAATGGAGTCTCTGAATCATCAAATTAGCCTTATAACTAAATACAACACATACTGTACATGGAATAAAGTCGATTTTACAAATAACGTGGTGTTTCCTTGTCCTCGCTCCGCAGCAGAAACCCTCTTCTGGCCTCTGATGGCACCACCCCTCCCCCTCAGAGCTGCAACAGCACAGTGAGTAACCCCCCCGACATGTCACGCTGGAACCCTTTCGGAGAGGACAACTTCTCCAAGCTGACGGAGGAGGAGCTGATCGACCGGGAGTTCGACATGCTCCGAGCAAGCAAGTGACACGTTTAACATTTCCTGCCTAACTTTTTCTTTTTTTTTTTAATAAATGTTGTTATTTACATGGGTGGTTCGAAGCGACGGCGGAGGATCTAAGTGTCTCGTTGTCTTTCTTCGTGCAGACAAACCTGTGGAGAGAACAGCCTGCGTGGAAGCGGACCGACCGCAGCCCGCTGCCATCAAGCCCCTCCCACCCGAGGACCTGTTCGGCTCAGTCCCGTTTGTGGCCAGCGCAGGCAAGTCTTAGAGGAGTCTCTACCCTGAGGACCCAACACTGTGGATCCACCTGCCCCCTCTGTGCCCTCTCCTGTCCAGCTGTCCCACACAGACCCCACAGTGGGGCTGTAAAAACCAGTGATCAGTCAGAGTCTTTTGTTTCCCATCGTCAGATCAGACTTCTGTTATCAGTGTAGAATAAAATCTGAAGGTGCTCCTCTGTGACTTAAAATAGGAACAAATCAGCAAAGCGATTAAAAATCGATTTCTGAATTCACTGCAATCAGCTCCGGCTTCTAAATCTGGGCTCGGTGCTGATGACTTTCAGGCTACGCCCACTAGAGTACAGTTCTTTAAGATATGCATCAAGTCTCTTCCTCTTTTGAAAACCATAAAACTTGTTTTTGTTTGTTGTATCAGAAGAAGAGTTCACACTCATCAAATGTTCAAATCCAGCCAGTGAAACACTACGTGCTGCCTGCAGTGGAATCAAATCTCAGAGATGAAACATCCGACTGAGACGACTGAGCCTAATAATCCTAGAGTCTCCCATGAAACCTCTCACAGCCCAGAACTTCCTCCTCAGACTTCTTCAAAGTCTCCCATGATTCATCTGAATATCACATCCACAGTTGAGCCCAGACGTCGCTCTAACTAACACGTGAACTTCCATCAGACAAACACTCTTCTTAGCTCTAAACTGAAATGCAAAGATTCCTCACAAACCACAAAAAACGTTGATATGAAGCGTTTAAAAGGGCCCAATGTGAACATCCACTCTAACATAACCTAGTAACTAGTACTTCGAATTAACTAACCAGTCAGCCTGCATGTGTTCAAACCCCATCACACGTCGTAGGCTCGGTGTAACAGTGTGAATATCCGGGTGCAGTATTTCTACATATATCACATCGGTGGCAGCAATAAGCTTCTGTGCCTCTGTACTCTTCCTGCTTCTTCAGTAACTCGGTTTCTGTTTCGATAAGCAGATTAGAAACGCTCTTTGTAACTCATGGAATATATTTAATGATGAACGCTATCAACGCTAAAAACGCTTCGATATTTTCTAGAGGAGAGCGAGAGGAGATTTTTCTTTTCTACAGTAAATTCATCTCTTTAATGCAAGTTCAGCCGCGACAGCTCAAAGTGGAATAAGTTCAGGTAAAGATGCAATATAACCCTCGGAGCACTTGAATGTAAGTGTGGAAATGTTTTATTGTCTTCACTTGTCACTTAACGAATATCAAACTCGATTTGAGTTCAAATTGGATGGAAGGAAAAACCAAAAAGAGAAAGAAACTAACTGATTGAAAGACTTTTTTTTTTTTTTTTTTTACCGAATTAAAAACCCCGGAAGGTCAAACCCAGGTTGTCGGGACTCACTGGGGCTCATTCCCTCAGGCTGGCATGAAGAAAAGTTCATTTTGGATTCAGCCTTTAAGCTTCCTGTGTTCGTGCCATCACAGTGTGTCTGGTTGTTATATCTCAGTCACAGGTGATTTATTTAGGTTGTATGAATATATCTATATCAGTGTGCAGACTCGTTACCAGCAACTTCACTGAAACTTCACTGAAACACTGAAGTTTGATTTTCTGGAGTCTCTGTCCTGGTTTGATGTTTTTATTCGGTTCACGTTATCGTCACGTTTGACCTGGTTTTGGTTTCACGTTGTAATTTAGGGAGCGCACTAAAGAATTTTATATGACGTACGTTTGTCACCTACGTGGGCCGCGTCGACGGTTTAGAGACTTGCGTCCGTCGGTTTTAAACAGGAGCCTCGTTACAAACCACTACATCGTGCTCATCTGTTTGGATTCTGCAGATTCACACTCTTTCTTCACTGAGGATGAATTTAAACGAAAGGATTTTCACCTATTTGTGACTTTGGCGACCCCTGCAGGTCGCGTCAAAGTGGCAGGCCTTCACATTTCACAGGGTTCTGTCACGTTGAGCTGATTTAAAAGATGAAACCTTTTAAAATATGGACTTGACTTTTTTTAATTTTTATTTTGGGAGCACAACAAACCAGGACAGACATTTTCAAAGTCGGCACATTTTGTTGTTACAAAAAAAAAAGTAATGTAAAGAAAATATCTTTTATTGTGAAGTTGCTTGGTTTTCATTCGTCGGTTCAACGTGCCTTTGTTTTGTTTTTTGTTTTTTTACCCGACCAACAATGATTACAAAAATACTTTTATTTCCTCAACTGTCAGAAAGTTTTGCTCAAAGGAACGAAGGAAAGGCCGGAGATACACGTCCTGTTAAACCAGGACTTCATATTCCACCAGAGGAGACGCCACACAACAAGAACAAACTAAAATGGCGGCAGGAATTTAACGACCTGGTCACATAGTTCGTCAAAACCTGCGATGTACTGCCCCCTACTGTTCATGTGAGTATGCGGATGCATAGCATTAACGTCCGGGGGAAGCCGCGATGCATACGCGTCGTTAAAAGCAGGTTTATCTCCGGCCTCGCGTATCTGACGAGCGATGCAGACGTCAGGTAACAGCTGATGGTCGGAGGAAACGTGTCGGCTGAACATTATTTAGACTTTCACGAAAACCTGGTACTTAAAACAGCTTTTATTGTAAGAATGATTATTATTCCGTGTTGAAGACAACTGGCTGATGGCACATTCTGTTGTGTTACCGTTAATTCCTCTTTTTTTTGTTTTACGTTATTTGAATCCATACAATCCTGAAGGGCTGTATGTTTGTGAATCCTCGCTGTGCTGCTGGTTTCTCCGCCTTAGCGCAGCAAGTGAGCGTGAACCCATCGTAGTCCTTCACGTTATTGTACAAATGTATTCACGTACTTAGCTGAAGGTAAGTTTTTAAGATGTCGCTTCTCTTCCTCGTCATGTTTCTGCTCATGTCACCGCCTGCTTTTATTTGGGCTGGTTTTTTGTTTTTGTTTTTATTTTTTTTGTGGAAGACCGTTGCTTCATTTCAGTTTGATCGTCTCGTTCTTTGAGTTGTTCCGTTTCGTGCTTTCATTCAGCGAGACGGCCATGTTCAGAAACATCTTGTTCATGTGTATCGGTGGATGGATTTAAAGTTAAACAAAACCCCATCAAAGCCAAAAAATAAATAAAAAATAAAGAGAGAGAGTGAAAGGGACGACCAGAGCCATTAACTGCACTTTATTTTCCTTTGTGTGTTTCTTTAAAGTGCGAGGGAACGTGAAACTTCATCCCAGACTTTGCGGGATGAGATCAAGCAAACACAAAAACTTTGAACATGTTGTTTATTAATTGTTTACATCTGCAAGTTTTCTGTGCTTTCTCAAATGTTTTTGGGGTTTCCCCCTTTTTTCCTCGGCAGTTTTGTCAGCTTTACGTTAGAGCCCAGATCAGTAGACGTTTGGGAGCTTTTTTTTTTTTTTTATTTGAGACGATTCTCAGTAGAAGTGTTTTTAGTTGTTCTGGATATCAGCAGCTCCCGGTACCTCTCCTGCAGAAAGAAAACCACCTCTAGATCCATAAGTTGTCTCACACATATCTTGTTTCTTTGCAGCAGACTGTGTAAAAGGTCCTGTATCATACTGTGAGTGTGAATGTACTTTCTTTATAGAATGTTACTGATAAATAAAAAAACATTCAAAATCAGTTTTCACTTTGGTTCCTTTTTTAAAGTACTCTGGAAAGTGAAAGCTTCCCTCCACCACTACACCACGAGCAAGATGTTCCTGAAGTTATCATGGCCGTCTCTGTGTGAGCGCTCTGTCGTCCGATCAAATCGAACTGATTCCGTCGTGCAGCAGGCGAAGGTCAAAACAATGATCACCTCCATGTTTGTCCAGGACGAACACGTGTGTGTGTGTGTGAAACATTAAGCAGCTTATTCTGTGACTTCCTTCATGTTAAATCTACGATGCTGATAAACAAGTTCAGTGTGGAACATTTGTCTTCATTGTTTTTAAATAAGTTTTGGCCTCGTCACAGGTTTTATAATCTTATTTAAAATCTAAATCTCTTCATGTTCTTGTGTAATTTCAAACTTCACTGGTTCCGTCTGACGATTAGTTTTATTTCTGAGAAACTCTTTAATGTCTGTTCACCTCAAATTTATCCTGAGACACAATCAGGCCATGAAATGTATATTTTATAAAAAAAAAGATTGAAGTAAATGTTCTCATTTTGAAGCTTTGCAGCCATTTAAATATTAATAGCATGAACAAACGTATTTCATTGATTTCAGACCAGCTCAAATAAAAAATAGCCGGACTTTGTTGAACCTGCAGTAAATGTTCCTGCTAAAAAAATATTAATTAGACATGAATAAGATCAAAACTTAATTCCTTTGCTCATTGATATTTTTAATCCATCTAATCCTGTAACCGAAGCTCGAGCAGACAGATTAGTTTGAGCAGAGACTTTATTTCTTAGTTTTCACACTTCATCCTTTAATTTCCTGCACCTCAGAGATGTCATGATCCTTCGGAGTGTGAGGAGACGTTCGTCACAAATGTTGGAATCAAATCTTTCACGTGGAATCTCATCAGAACCAGTTGGTGCGGTCGTGTTCAGGATCTTTTATCAGAGAAGCTCTCAGCAAAATATAATCACAGCTTTACAATATATATAAAATAAATAGAAATTCAGAGGGCGTTAGGTATTTTCTTCTTCAGTTATAACTTCATTATTCCAATATTTCAAACCCTCGGCTCCTTTATCATCGTTTCACTGTGAACACGACACGTTTAAATGTACAGTCGTTTGTTTTCACGAAGCTTTCGGTTCAGAGTCTCTCAGTCTCGTAAACGTCGGCTCCTCGGCGGCTTCAATCAAACCAATCTGTCCCTCAGCAGTTGTTGTGTCGAGGTCAGAGACGTCGCTAAGCTTCTGTCCGACAGATTTCATCTTCCATCCGGCAAGAGAGCAATCACACGCATGTTTTCACCGCTCAGTCTCGTCTTTAAGAGATCAGAGACGACGTGTAATCGTTCAACAAATCTGCGTCCGTCCGATTAAAGAGACGTTTGTGTTGTTTGGTGAGTTCGCCTGAGTCCGAGAGGTGAACATGATTGAAAATGATAATCTGTGTCCGCTCAGGTCACATGAACAGAAAGATGCGGATCACCTCGTTTCGTTTCATCCGTTTGCTCCGGAGCGTTTGGCTAATCTGACTTCACGTCCTGCCAGTTTGAATCCACACGTGGAGGTTTCCGCTCTTGTGTTCACAGCAGGGGTCCTTTCTTCATAATCTACAACTTCCCCTGATTGGAAACAATAAATTGGCTCATCGCGCTCGGCACAATTTATCTTCAATAAAATTGGAGACTATCCACTCGCTAATGAGACTATTTTCTAAGTTACCATCAAGCAAATCTCTTGGAATTTAATTTACACTGAGACACTTTTTTTTTTTTTTTTTAATCAAATGCCAATTTTTGTGAAAAGAATTTATAGAAATGCAGAGTGAGAGGTAATTACAGAACAAAGCTTCACTTCATCGGCAAGTGATCGACGGATTTAGATTTAAAAGTAATATCTTGGAAAGCATCTTATTCCTTCAGCCTCTAAGCCTCCTCGTCTTATCTCCGGGTCACAGGAGAGAAGTCGGAGCAGCTTTCAGACCATATTGAGTTTTGTGATTTTCCTTCGTCACTCCTTCTGGTTCGTTATTAGACAAACTGTTGGGATTTGTATTTGTAGAAGCGAAGTAATCCTGACTTCTCTAATGCCACAGAGGACAAGCACATATTTTTTGGGGGGGGAAATGAAAACTTCTGCTTCTTCTCCATCATCCTTTTATTTAGAACTTCAGGGGACTCAGGTGAATTCTGACAAAATCCTCTTACACGTTTTAACTCTTACATTTGTGTTTTGTTTCTGCAGGATCTACCACCGTGACGCAGACTGAGCAGAGCGGCGAGGACGTCAGCGTTCCTCCTCCCGTCTCGACCTCCGCAGACGATCTGCAGGCGCCCGCGGTCAAGGAGCACAAACCCGGCAGGAAGAGTAACTGCAGATCGGGAGAAGAGTCCGACAGCGACTTCGAGTCTGACCCTCCTTCACCAAAAAGCAGCGAGGAAGAGGAGCCGGAGGAGGACGAGGCTCTGAACAGTGAACATGGTGAAGACACAGAGCCAGAGAATATAGGACAGAGGCCTCTGCTGATGGATTCTGAGGAAGAGGAGGAGGAGGACAAGCACAGTTCTGACTCGGACTACAACCCCAGCAGAGTCAAGGGTCGCTCGAAGAAGTCTGGTAAATCCGCTTCTGCTGCCACCAGGAGGAGCCCTGAAGGAGATTCTGCCATGACCCTGATCACCCCTCCCGAAACGCCCAGCGGGGCGAGAGCCGCCCCAGCTGAGGAAGCTGTGGATGTGTTTGGGTCCATTCCCTTCGTCAGAGGAGCTTCACCGGTTGAGCCCTCGGAGAACGCGGACATCTTTGCCAAAGCGCCTTTCAGACAAGTCAGCCAAGAGCCGCGAGCAGCCGATGAGTTTGATGTTTTTACCAAAGCTCCGTTCAACCGGAACCTCTCCAAGTCTGGCAAGAGCGGCAGCGAAGCTCCCGCGGGCCAATCGCCGCCCACCTCCCCCGAGGCCTTTGACATTTTTGGCTTCTCTCCCTTCCACCCGGGCCCCACGGCGCCACCTCCCGTGACCTCGAGGAGCGCGGACGATATCTTTCAGTCGTCTTACGAGGAGTCGGCGAGTCCTCAGCAACAGAGGCTGAAGCAGCGCAGCCTCCAGAAGCTGTCGTCGCGGCAGCGGAAAACCAAGCAAGAGGCCACCGCGGGGGGCAGCAACGGCAAACGACACCACGGTACACCCACCGGGGGGCGCAAGACTGGCAAGCCAACTTACCGCACCCCTGAGCGAGTCCGCAGGCACAAGAAGGTCGGCCGGAGAGACTCTCAGAGCAGCAACGAGTTCCTCAGCACCTCCGACTCTAAAGAGAACATCAGCGTTGATATAACCATGGCTGAGGGGAAGGACAAGGGAGCTTCTCTGCCGGTGGACGAGGCCCTTTTAGACCCGTTTGGAGCCAAACCTTTCCACCCTCCGGACGGAAGCCGGCACAGCCAGTACCAAGGCCTCGTGGATAGTAAGAGTGACATGGGCACGGCCAACGGTAAGACCTGGACGGGCTCTCTTCACGGAGCTCTTGGAGAGAGTAGAGATATGGATGACTTCGGGGCAGTGCCCTTCACAGAACTGGTCGTCCACAGCGGACCCCAGCAGCAGCCGCCGCCGCAGCAGCAGCAGCAGGCGCCCTCGCAGCCGGGGGAGCTGGACCCGTTCGGAGCTGCACCTTTTCCCTCGAAACAGTGACCTTTTCTCGTGTCTTCCAACTCTGCCACTTGCTGTTAAATAACCCCTGAGCTTCTCTTTCGGTTTGGGATCATTTTTCAACGAATGCTCTGACGCTTCTTTTTTGAGAACATTTTATTACCGCGCTCACTTTTAATAAGGAGAAGAAAAAAAAAAACCCTGAATCCTGTGGAGTGTGGGTGGAGGAGTTTCCACGTATCCTTCGGCTCCGCCCGTTCGCTGAGAGGCCTTTAATGCTGCATCTAATTAAGACCAAGAAGAAAACCGGACGACCCACTCCGATAAACTGTACTGTGATTATGAGCTTGACCTTTGACCGCTTGACTCGCTGCAGCTCTTCATGGCCTTCGGCTCTACCGATATGTTTCTTAGCACCACGAAGCCTTACCTGAGCTCGGCTCCGCCTTGCTGCACAGAACCTCGGGAATATTTGACACAGTCGGTCCACTTCGGAGGAATCGTTCGACCTTAACCACTTTGTTTTGCCCTCACTAGACCTTTCTCTATGCATAAGTTCACAGTAGTCTACACCTGGAATACTAGAGGGGATCGAATTTTTATCGTACTTCCTTTAAAAACCTAAATCTGTTAATTGACGCAGGTTTAAATTTAGGCTCTTAACTGTTTACTTCATTTTCTTTCTTTCTCTTTTTTTTTTTTTTAGCAGTAAACTTGTCAGTTCTGTTAATTTTTCATGAAGTTACAACTCATCACATTCTGTTAGAAATAAGAAGGAAATAAAAACACGAAGCCGCGTTAGATCACCAGTTTTTTAAGAATGTTGATTCAATCACTTTCTCAGAGTAAATTTAAGGACAAATGGGTTTTGGGTTTTAGTTAATTCGACAAATTTTTATTTATTTTCGCAACAAATCCATAAAAAGACCAAAATCATTTATTTGCTTTCTTGTCCATTAGTTAATTTAAAAAAACAGCTTCTCTCAAGTTTGATACGAAGCTGCAACCGGTCGATTCATCGTAAAAACCTGGGACGAGCCTGGTTCTGTGTTATTTCGTAGCTTTGATTGTTTTGCGATAGGTGGAATTGTCTTTTATCTCTTTTTAGCTTTTTCTGCTTGTTTCCATTATGCTTTGCTAAGCTAACAGGCCGCTAGCTTTAGCTTCGTATTGAAAGTAGATTTAACAAGCGTACAGATCTTCTCGTCTGAGGCTCAGCAAGAAAGTCAATAACTTGACTTTTGCTCAAAAATTAAAAAATATTTTTTAATGACACCAAGAGAAACAACAACTTTAAATAGTTTGAGTTTTCTAAAACCTATTTATTCTCTTTCTTGTTTTGAGTTTATTAAAAACACTGATACTCAACATGAAGCTACAACCAGCAGCCGTGTTAGCTCGACTTAGCATCACGTTTTCAGATTAATACACATTTAGTGAGTATTTCCAGCCGCTCACATTCAGAACTTGTTAGTTCTAATTCACTGGTTTTGGTTTTTAATGGTTTTGGTCTTTTCACGAGATTTGTTGACAACAGAAAATAAGATGTCGGACTTTTCACCGAGGTAAATTCCACGAGGGGGTAAAAAAAAAAAGAGGATAAATCTGTGATGTCATTTGTCTGACTGCACTTTTCAGCGCTGAATTCTTCCGGGATCTAAAGTTCTGTGTTCTCTGCATCGACGGCCTTAAGCACTGCATTTACCTTCACAACCACCGGCACGTTTTTCTGAATTAAAACCTGTGGGTGGCTGCGTTTTCACCAGTGGATCATTTCATACAACTACTTTCCATCGTTTTTCTTTCTCGTGTATTCATCCTGCTGTTTGGTGCAATAAATAAGATTCATCTCAGAGCAGCCGGACGCTGTGATGTGGGTTTTAAAACAACAACGGGACGCATTTCAAACAGGACACGGTTGAGTTTATTTAGAGTTGAGTTCAGCAGTTTGTTGCTCGAGTACGAAAAGTCAAGATACAAAAGTTCTGCGGCTACAAAATGAGGTTCAGACAAACTACAGGTTCTTCCAAGAGAGAAAGTCGTATCTTTACAGATCAGCTTCAAAATGAATAATTTAAATACATCACAACAAAAAGAATCAAAACCAGAGAACACAACCTTAAAAACATTAAATATCACAGACAACAAATGAATCTCATTCCAAAATGAGACAGTTTCCATTCAACTGGACGACGAGGTCTAACTCCTGACAAACACGTTTATGTTTTATATGAATTCATGGTTTAATAATTAAGACTTTTCTTTACGAGAATTTTAATGAAACAGCAAAGATTTTATTCCCAGTGTGGAGTTGTAGCATTTTGGAATGAAGTCATTTAAAACAGTAAAAGAAAAAAGTGTTTACCTTTGACATTGCACATGACCCTACATGGAGAACAGGTTATTAAGTCTGAAAACACTTGAGTGGAACTAAAAAGCAAAGTAGTGACTTCCTCCGGATCGACAGAGGACGACAGAGAACAACACGTCGCAGCATAAACTGCAATCATAAAGAAAAAAAAAAAAGAAAAAGGCTAAATCAGTGCTTGAATCTTTACAAAAAATAAACAGTGAAGAACCGCCCCCCCACCCTGCCTCTGAAATATCCTCATGTTTAACTCAATCAGAGGCAAAACACCAAAACACTGTGCTTCACTTGTGTTCAAAGTACAAAGTTGTTCGTCTTACTCAGGCGTAAAAATCCTCAATACTGTTCCCACATCAGGAGAAAGAATTAGAATAAAGGTAACGACAGAATGTGGAGCTTTGCTCCACAACAGCGTCTTTGGTTTTCTATCTAAACGTCGACAGTGAAAGAAAAGAGATTTCACCGCGAGGCTGCGACACACAGATTCCTATAGATAAAAGAAAATCGTTTGAGTTGAGTTTAACGTTCTTAGCTCACAGCACCGTAAAAACAAGTTTTAGTGAAACTAATCGAATATTTTTTTTCCCTTTTGAGGACATTTTGTGATTAACTACTGAGGCTGATTTAAAAGTTTTATATTTCAAAGTCCAGTTAATTTAATTTAGTAAGAGCTACATGATGATTTATTTACAGGCACTTACAGAACATTCATAAGAAAAAGAAAAGATCACTTGACTGAATCTTGTTGCTTCGTCTGATTTATACAGAAAAACTAAGTGAAACTGAAACTGCAAAGATTTAGTTATTTCCATGTTTCATCTGTGACAATCTCACTTCAGCCTCTGTGACGGTTTGAGCTACGATCACACACGGGCTTTAGCTTTCTCTTAAAAAATACACAAAAGTGTCACCTCTGATCCTGGAGGTCACGGGTTCGATTCCCGTTTGCCGGTTGCTCCCTCATCAGAGACTCACAGGTTTAAAAAAAAAAAAGTGGGATGAACTAAAAGCCTGGTGTCTCTGCTCCTTCTCTCAACCTAGAGAGAGCAAAGATTAACCAACCATTAGTGCTAAGTTTTGGAAACACAAACTCGTTAAAGAAAGTATCATCACAACAACCAGTCTACATTGTTTTTATCCCAGACTCGTATAAAAGTTGAGAAAACAAGTTCAAGCAGCTAAAAACAGGTTTCATGAGTTCACCTCGACCTTTAACGACCAAAATTAAAATACATGAAATACTTCCTCACACATATTAACTCGTGCACAGCGATAGCGGAGCTGCTACTTACCAGACAGCAGCCGGTCCCCGTCCTAAGCGTGCTGGGTGGCGTCGGGGCAGGGCTCGCTGTGTCTGTACGCCATGATGAAGCACGACGACTGGTGCCACCAGTAAAACATCAGCACCAGCAGCAGGTGCCACACCTGGTGACTGGAGCCCAGGTAGTTCAGCTGACCTGCAGCAACACACCAGAGTCAAGTCCCACCACCGCGATTTAGAAGATGAGGTAAGAGAGGAGCTTAAAACTTTTCCTCAAGGGGACAATAAAGTCGAGTCTGTTCTGTATTTTTAAGTCCTGCATCTTTAAAAAACACTCACCTGGGAAGTAGCGTTCAGGAACTTTAGAAACGTAGAAAATGAGAGCTAACGCTGCGATGAAGTACATCCCCAGGATACGAGGGACAAACGCCTGAGGGAAGGAAATGTTCATTTGACCGATGTGAATAAAACTGACAGAACTTCGACAAATTAAACAACGCGGCTGAATGAGCCGTTCACGAGGACGTGGTATTTTTTAAGTGAGCGCGGCGCTCACCTGGACGAGTTCGGAGGAGAAGCCTCCCGTGATGCAGATCCAGTGGACGGTGGGGATGAGGCCGTATCCGGCCACCGAGCAGAAGATGAGCGAGCGCAGCTGCTGCCACTGCTTGCTGAGGTAATGAGGGTGGATCTGAGCGAAGAACACGGCCAGGATCATGGCCAGGACCGTCACCAGGTACACCTGCCGCCAGTACTGCAGGGACAGGGAGGTCAGAGGTCAAAGCACCGTTAGTGGAGGTTAATAACTAAATAATATTAAAACACAATAAAAGCTTTCAACATATCGATATGCTTCTACACTGCGTCAGCACGGAGGAGGAGGTTTAACACATAATCAGATTTATAAAATGTTCTTCTGTTTATCAAGCGTTTGTTTGAAGCCACAGTCTTTAAACGTAAAAGAGATAATGTCTATTAATAATTAATAATAATGTAATTATCCACTGATATATTTTTTATTGTCCAGGTCTAATGATCTCCACGAAGAAGCTTTTCATCTATTGTTTGAATTATTAGAAAACTTGGTGGAAGGAAAAGAACTCATTCAATGTTCGGGATCAGTTCACTTTCTCGAACATTTTGTTCTGAAACGTTTTGTTGAGAATAATTTGAGGAAAACAAAGCGACTGATATTTCTGAGTGTTGTGAAATTCGGTGCAGATCAAAATAAAAACCCTGATCTAGATTTAAACGTGGTTTCACGAGGGGACAGTTGGGCCCTGGCTCAGACACGAGCTCTCAGAGAACATTGGTGGAAGAAACATCGAAGGTTTGTGCATCTACAGAACAGAAACTCTCCAGTTTGAGTCGTGATAATATGAATATAAATATAAAGTAATCAGCACTTGATATTTAAACTTGTATAAGTAAGTGTGTAAAGTCTGGGCAGCTTTGTCTCGGTCCCTTCTGGACAGTTTTGTGGATGTAGGCCTCCGTCCAGTCACACGTCCTCATGTGTTGAGTCCTGCTGAATTTCACAGTGAATAAATTTGCACCAGGAACAAGGCCCCGCTCGGCTGCAGCCAAATTTCTTACAGCTCTTCTCCGAACAGACACCGCGTTCTCTCCTCCAAATCTACATTTTCTACAAGACGAATGAGACGAGACTTCGACTGGCTAAATATAAAAAGCAGTTTTTCCTTCAGGGACTTGGCTTTGCCGCAGGAGTGGAGCCACCCAGCAGTGGAGCCCCAGTCTTGGCAGGGACGGGGGGCCCCTTTTCGCTGAGACGGCTCCCAGACTTGCGAACGTCATATGGTGGGGAACAGGAGTGACGGACCGCTCCGTGAACGCAGCCATCTGGTTTGAGCTGGAGCAGATTTCAGCTGCGTTCTGGGGGCAAAATAACCCGGCGCTTCCAATATGCGGGGGAAAGCGAAGAGTACGGAGCGCAGCCAAACACTTCAGGAGTAAAAGGAAGAAAAAACAAAAAAAACATGGTGGGCGGCTGGAATGAGGAACTGAAACTGGCTTGTGTCATCAGAGGCTGGTTTCCAAACAGCGAGCGCGGCGAAGGTGTCGCGCAGCTTATTCACCAGGAACAATGAGTCAATCAGCAGAGCCAGACTGTGGGCTCCGCTTCAGCTTTATTCAATTACTGCTGCTCAAGAAGCCGCGGATGTTGAGCTGAGACGTCTCCAGGGAGCAATGTGGTTAAATGTTAATCTCTGTGCAGCTAAACCACGTTTCCATCAGCGGTTTCGTGTCTGATATACCTGAAGATACAGGTTTTGTTCATTAGCGTTTGTCTTGTAATCTCAGAAAGGGATGATCCAGATTTATTAAACACACATGGATGTAAAAATATATCTTTGTATCTATAATACGCAGTTTGACAGTGAAATAATTTTCTCATCACTGATGATTTCAGCAGCGAATCGTGCTGATTATTATAACGTTATTCACTTCTCCTCTGCTCAGACAGATCCTAATGTATTTTGACATTTCAGTTATTTATTATATCATATAAAGTTTGTTTTAACTTTAAATTAAGGTTCCGTTTGTAGAATTTCTAGTGTTGAAATTCCTCTTTTAGCAGGAAATAGGTTTAAAAAGAAAAATGTGTACTGAGTCTGATTATTATGGTTCAGCAAATGTCTCATGTGATAAGAAATCTTTATCAGTTTTACTTTTTAAACTTATTTCATTCTTATTTATTGAACTTCCTTTTCTCGTTCTATTGTTGCCTGTTTTTGTTTTAAAACTGTAGTTATTAAATAAGTGTGTTCAGAGTTTTCATCAGTGTCATTCGTTCTTTTCATATTCAATAAAGACAACATCACAAAATGAAAAAAAAAAAAAAAAAATCTATTATAGACATTATTTCATTATAAAGCTTGTTATTGAGTATTTTTGATTTTGAACAACTGAGGACCGATCAGAGGAGTTCAGACTCACGTTATTACAGTAGAAGGTGTAGAAGACCCCGGGGACGTAGCAGCCCAGGATGCCGATGGAGACGCCGGCATAATCCAGCGCCATCCAGCGGCGACTGGTCTTCTCTGAGCGATGGCAGCAGAACAGGTGGTAACCCACCGAGMACAGCATGCACAGCTGAGGGACGTCAGAGGAAAATGAGTCAGACGACACAGCAGCAAAGGATGTGACATGGAAATGAAAATAAAATGGAGGTGGTAGATTCTGTTCACTTTGAAATTCAGCTGATTCTTAAAATGTTTTAAATTTTAAAATAACATTTTTCAAGGAAGTGAGATTATTTGACACTGGAACGAGCCATCAGTGGCTCAGTCTCTGCTACAGGTGTCGTTAACTGGCATCATTATTACACCGATCTAATATGTGAATAGTGTTTATCATAGTCCATCACACTGAGGGATTAATTAACAACATAAGGATTAAAACAGCGTCATCTTCAATTTGAAAACCTTCGTGTGAAATGAGCCCTGAAATCCTCTAACACGTCTGACAACAAGCTACCAGTCGAAATGGAGGATGTGAGTAATAATGTGACGGCAGCAGTTAAGAGGGAAAACTCCGTCCTGTACCTGGAAGCAGAAGAGCCCGATGGAGTAGATGACGTAATCCTCTTTGGAGGCCCCGAACCCGGGCAGCACGGACGCCATGTTGTACACCCCGAGACAGAAGAAGAGCAGGAAGCCCAACAGATGGCTCCAGATATTCACCGTCTCATTGGACAGAATGAAGAGGCTGCACATGGGATTTACAAACAGGATTTATAAATGAAGATTAATAAGAAATAAAATCTTCTCTTACTACAGACTGGGAGCTGTAATTACAGCAGCACAGCCCATAATATTTAAAGTCACACATCTTCACGCTGTTCGAACATGAACAAAGTCAAACCCTCGACTCTGACAGGGACCGAGGATAAAAACTATTTAATCATTTATTACTGAAGACAATGTAAATCAACCTACGTCATTGATGGAGAATAGAAAGCTCGTCTGTATTATGAATATAAATCTATTTTGCTCGTGAGTATTTAAAAAACTAAACTAAGCGATGTGGATTTTAAGGAGCTAATTGTGATATTAGACCGAAAAATGTGTCAGTGATTCTTTAGACGTCATTATCGAACACATAAGACAAAAGAAATGTAATCGAGAGCTTATATTTTACAGTTTAACCCTAAACTTTATAATAAATAAACATAAATACAGCCGCTCTACTTAAAACAATAGAAGGAACATGCAGCAAGTGCAGAAAGAAAGAAAAAGGTTTAGTTTTCCAACACTGGTCTAAAGAAAATCAACTTCCTCTCCTGTTAGAAACAATGTTCTGCAGTTTCAGTTTGGTCTGAGAGAAGGAAAGTGAAATAAACTTCTCACGGGAGCGGTGGAAAGAAAACACACGTTCTCCTGTGATGTGACAATATAAAGTGAAGCTTCTTCACCTTTTGATGCAGAGTCTGGAGGGCAGGTAGGCTCTGTACCCATCTGTGATGTACGGGTTCTCCCTCAGAAACACTGGGATCTGTTCGTAGGTGTACAGTCGGATTCCTCGGGGCACCAGCACGGGCCAGTACTGATAACCTCCCAGCTCGATGTAGTGCCCGGTCTGAGCGTTCTTCTGGAGCTTCTGAGGCATGGCTGGGCCTGTCTGCTTCAGTCTGACCTGAAGGTGACATCACATAACATTAATGATCGTTTTAACACCGTTACAAGTTTGTCAGAAGTAAGAGGTCAACTGTCCATTAGAAGCTGTCGCTGTGTTGCTGCAGTCAACAAGTGAGAAACGAGGACAATCTGATTTTCTCCATTATCAGTTAATCTGTCGATCATTATCTTTATCAATTCATTTGTTGTTTTGTTCAGGAAATTGTGAAATAATCTGTTTTTCAAACCACAAGATGACTTCCTCAAATGTGCTGATTTGACAAACAAACCAAAGGAGCAAAGAAAACAACATGTGCACATTTAAAAAGCTCAAATCACAGGAGCACCTAAACTGTCGGTGATTTAATTTCATTTGCAGCCACTGACTTGTATTACATGTTAACCTACATCCAGCGTGTGGAGGCCAAACTCCGTTCAGAAACATGGTGATTTTAGCTTAATCGGTAACATCCAAAAAGTATTACTTTAAGAAGTCTTAGCATCTAAAGTTTAACTTTGACAAACAACTGTTGCTCCAAACGGCACCAAACAAAACCTGAAAGTGTTTCGATGTAATCGTAGGAACCAGTGGACCCACTAATCTTTGCTAATCGCAGTGTTAACCTGCACATAACGAGGGTGGTGTCGATAACTGGATCAGATGTGATGAGTTGACATCTTGTTGACGTAACGTGATTCCCGAGTCACTTACTTTAAGCCGATTGAACCCAGAGCAGGAGCTGAACCACGGGCCGTTTGAAATGTGATCGCAATCCTGCAAATAACAGCGTCGCTGACCAGGTGAATCTTAAAACAGCAGATTTATCAACGCGGTTCGGGAAAACAAGCGGCTCGAGTCTGTGTGAGTAAGGCTAACGCCGCTACATGCTAACACGCGATTGGAGGCAATAAATAAAAAACAGACTCACCTTTTAATTTTCTCTTCGCGCAGTTAGCGACATGTTGCTGTTTTTAATCCGCGCCCCGAATCTGAAAACACGAATTAACTCGGTTTTTAATTTAACGCGACGTTTTTACAACTTTCAGCTACAACATCTTCCAAATCACCAGTGACGTCATCAGTGATGGACCCCCCACCTTACAGCGGTGCCCGAGGACCGCCTGAATAAAAACAACCTCAGACTCTGGAATAATAATAATAATTAATCAATACATGAAATATTTAAAGATAAATAAACTGTGCAGAGCTGATGAAGACCTGATATTCAATGCTAAGGAATATTTCCTCAACCACAAGTTATACTTTCAGAAAAACAGCCAAATAACAAAAAGCTTATATTATTAAAAATATAATATTTACTGTATGTTTATATATAATATTTTTTCATGCCACACATTTTAAAAGTGAAATTCTCATGAGCTCATAAGTAATTTATTCAAATTATTTGTTTAGCGTGAAACAACAAGCAAACAAACCCAATGAATTAATTATTTTAAGGGGCAATGTCAACCTCGTGAATTAAAACATGTCTTTTTTATTTATTTATGATAAAGTTTATGGTTAAACTGTAAAATATCAAGCCTCGGTCACATTTCTTTGTTTGAAAACCAAATCTTCTGAATTTTTCTATACATATCGGCTGATTTATTTATATTGAAAAACTTTTTACGTCCTAATATTCCCCCAAAACATCCATATTGTTGAGGCTCTAATATTTACGTATGAGCATGTCACCCTCTACCACAGCAGTTTGTGTCAGTATAATGTGGGGACCTTGAAATGTCACATGATAAACACAGCATAGCCCTGAATGGATGCTGGAGCCTGCAGGTGAGGCCTGTGGTTAAGGTCGGCCACTGGCTGCAGCTCTCCTCCTCCTGGCTGTCATCCCGCTGTGCGACTGTGTTACATCCTCCTGTCGCTAAATGTCACCAGGAATCCTCGTCAGAGCGCCGGCTCTCCACAGACCTCTCAGGTGTGAGAGACGCTGGAGGATTCCCTCAGGAGCGAAGTCACACTCAGTCGTCCCTCTGCTGTTTACACCCCACTTTAATTGCCTCATTCTCAAGTGGAAGCGGCTTCTTCATTATCACTTCTAATGCACCTCTCAGCACATCCACTCTGGCAAAGTGTCAGCTGCCAAGTTAAGATAGTAACTCGTGCACGGAAGGGCGAACAGCAAGAATCTCCTGCTGCTGCAGTCGCTGCTTGAGTTATTAATTGATTTTGTGGGTTTAGAGTTGGCAGTAATTTACTATGAATGAATTTAACAGGAAAACATCTAAACACACAGAGAGGGAGATTTACAAGTTGTCTTCTCCTTTGGTTTATTTTTCCTGGATTTTTAATCAAGTGACTTCAGGTGTTTTTGTCCTTGATAGCGAAGAAACAGGAAAATATTTAATCATGTTTTAAAGAGATGTTTAAAAGCTTGTTTTGTTCCTGATGATGTTTATTTAAACTATGAAGACATAAAATCCAAAGTTAATGAAAGTGAGTACGACGAGTCAACAAGGCCGTCAGTCAAAATCTGACAAGTTGTTTATTCTCTATTTAGAGGTTTTTTTGAAAATCACTGACAGACTTCTTTTAAGTGGTGCTACCTTGCACCTTTAAATATCCGTCTATTGATCCATTCATCCATCTATATATTCATCTATGCATCATCTTTTGAGGGAGCTGGATCCAATCCCAGCTGACACTGGGCGAGACTTAATGTTCACCTTGGACAGGTCGCCAGTGTCTCACCAGTGTTGACGTATATATCGAGACAAACAACCCCTCACACCTAAACCTGCATGTGTTTGGACTGTGGGAGGAAGCTGGAGAAATGAGGACAACATGCAAACTGAGTGGACGTCAGGTTCGAACCCAGACGCTTCGTGTGCTCACCACTGCAGCACCGTGCCGCCCCTCCTTCACAAATCCACCTTCAGCTCCTGAGAATGAGAATAAACTCTCGCACTCAAACTTTCATAGAAGTTTAACACAGACTGAAACCGGTTTGTTTCATCTGTCAGCAAACAGAAGTGTTCAAATGGGAGTTTCTAGTTTTAGAGAGGGTTAACTTCTGGAAGCTTCTCACCGAATCAACAAATCAGACATGTCGATTTGTGATATTTTCTGTGAAACCAAAATTATTTCACCATCACTGTCTCTTTAAGCCAATTAGAACAACACGTGGTGTCGTTTTTAAAAGATCAGCCATGTTGATGTGACATGTTTCCTGTATCCACTGCAGCTGCTCCTCTAAACAGGATAGAGGATCAGACCCTGGTCCCGTAGAGTCGTGTTAGAGGACGCTGCTCTCTCCTGCTCTGTGTTCTCTGGACTCTGACGGAGGTTTTTCACGAGGACGACTCCCCCGTCTCCCGCCCCACCACCTTCTTCCTGACTCCTCCCTGATTCACTGTGACAATCTGTCGTCAGCCCTTTTTTTGTCCTGGATCTTTTGTCTTTGATTTCTGTCCTCCGCTTTTCTGTCGGACTTAACGTGGAGAAACGTTCCTCCGTGTAATCGTGGCGTGTAATGGAACATGAAATTAAAGCACTGCTACTTATACCCTCTTATGAAAGCAGAGTGTGATTTGTGTATCGGACGTTTCATCAGTGTTGAAATATCACGTTTGTGATGATTATTGCAGAGACGTGTTTCGTGTTATGACCGACTTGGGATATTTTCCTTCATAGAGCGCTGACTCTGGATGCGTACTCGTATGAAATGTGCCATAAAAAGGCGTCGCATTACATCTTAATTGAGGCTGCCTACTCTGTCTTGGCAAGTCCTTCCAAACCAGGCGCTGTTAGACTGGTTTAAAGAGAGACAGACAGGCCCCGGGGCCACCAACGTCCTTTAGGATTGTCAGGGTCATCAATGAAACACAAAGCTACAGTGGTGCTCTCCTCTCTGGCTGCCGCTCTGCATTTACTGGCACGTTACGTTATGTTAAAAACATTACATCTTATACTTCACGTTGAACAAATACTAAATTGAAGTTAAGATAAGAGGAGAAATTAACAATGCGTGACATGTTTCAGCGCCCTCGCTTCTTTTCTGCACCACCTGCCCCCTGCGTGGAAAACACATCTGATAAAACCTTGAATTTAAAAGCTAAAATCTGTATTTTCCTCTCAAACCCTCAACACAAAGCTCACAGGCTTCGCCGGCTTCGATGCAGGCCCCGCCAAATGTTAGCTCGCCTGCCGTGCCAAGACTGACAGGCCCTTTGCAAAGCTAACACGGCCTCGCGGCGGCTTGTGCTCGTCAGCGGCCGGCTGGTCTCATTGGCTTTATTTATAGTCGGCGCCACAAGACATCTGCTGGAGACGGGACTCTGTCCTCTGTGTCCACACAGCACCGCACAGAGGGAGCTTGTCAATGTTTTTTCGAAGGCAAAGTGTTTGCGAGGACCCCGGTCAGAGGAGCGGAGAGGCGGCGGCGGCGGCGGCGGCGGCCTCCTCTAATAGGACGGGTGTCCCCTCTGATTGCCTTCTCTGCAGCTCTGATTAACGACATCGGAAGACAGAGGGAGGTTTCACAGTTTGTCGTGTCCTGTGCGTTCGCCGATGTTTACTCGATCTGAGAGCTGTTTTTTGTTTGGTGTCTTCAGTCTGGTCGTCACTCGTTACTATTTTGGGACGCTGACACTTGCATGCAGCTCGCCACTCGTCTGATGCAGCCTCCTCCCCCCCCCTTCGTGTCACACAGAGTCTCTCTCCCTCTCCCATCCTCTTCACATCGAGGACGTCTGGACGTCTCGGGCCGACCGCGCTTCAGGCCTTTGACACAAAGTGCCGGGGACAGCTCGCTGTTCTTCCCACAGAGCTGGGGGTGAAGTCAGACGGCCACATAGTGTGAAAATACTTTGTTTACATGTTCCTGAAAAGAACCAACCTGAGAAATCCTCCATTCCAAACAGCAGCGCTGCAGAATGAAGCCTGGTGAATCTCTGCTGCCGGTTCCCGACACGACTGAATATTTGTATTCATGTTCACACAGGAAGTACTGATTTGGTGATTTGGTGATTTTATATCATTTTTAATTTAATTTATTTAAACTACTGAGGTGAATTCCATGAAATCTTTGGGAGGAGAAGGGTGTGATATAAAAACCTTACACCACCAAATCACAAAAATAATGTTAAATGGGAATCGGGCTTATCTTCTGATTACAACTTTAACGGAGCCCAGTTCGGCTCCCTGAGGAACCCCATCAGGAAGTTTTCATTTCGCTGTAAAGGCTCATCCATGAAACCATGATGTTAGAAAATATTTAACGATGACTTCACTCTTCTGGGAGAAAAACAGTCAGCCAGTATTTGTCAAGTGGATATTTGTTTGATTCATCAGGTGAATTTAAATGACACACACAATCTTAGATTATAAATTAGGCTCCCATTTCAAATATAGACTCCCTTTGCACTTGACATTGACTTATTACCATGTTAGTCTTTAATTCTTTCACATGTTTTAAGCATGTAGCAGCGGTTTGGTTGCATCCTCGACGTGAGATGATCAGGACTAAATAACTATGATCTGAAATGAGCTAAAACATTTACACTGAAAATATATATATTTTCCATTTCATCAAATAGTAAACAATTAAAATATAAACCAAGCTGATAAGAAACATCAAATAAAGAAACGATATGACAGGATTCAGCTCGGAGGCCGTATGCCGAGCTGTGCATCACAAACTGGCACAAAAAAGAAAAAGACAAAATGAAATGTTGCATCAACAAATGTTCCAGCTCTAATGTGTCTGAATCTATCCTCGTAGCATCTGGGCCACTGAGCTCTTTCTGGGAATGAAATGGTTTTGTTGCTTAGTCTCCTTGTACTTTTTTTTTTTAATGGAAACTTTCAGCTGTGTAACAATATTGAAAAGCATTAGTCTTAATCCCTGAGCTTCCTTTTACTTTTTTTTTAGTCGTCGAAGATACATCTGGTTCCCTGTCTTGTAATTCCTGCAGAGATTCCAAAGAAAAAAGCGAAAACAATTTCTATGACAGTGTGTATGGTGTGTGTGTGTGTGTGTGTGTGTGTGTGT